ATAGAACTGATCAGCAAGGAAACCCCACAAATAACACAAATAAAAAATGGTCAAAAGACTGAACAGACATTTGTCAAAAGTAGAGAATACACAGGAGGTATATGCAGAAACGTTCAACATCACTAATCACAACAGAAATGCAGATCAAAACCACCATGTGGTGGGGCCGGTGCTGTGGTGCAGTGGGTAAATCTACTGCCTGCAGTGCTGGCATCCTATTTGGGCACTGGTTGGAATCCTGGTTGCTCCACTTCTGATCCAGCTCTCTGCTATGGCTTGGGAAGGCAGTAAAAGGTGACCCAAGTCTATGGGCTGCTACACCCATGTGGGAGGCCTAGAGGAGGCTCCTGGCTCCATACTGGTGCTGCTCCAGCCGCTGCGGCCATCTAGGTAGTGAACCAGCGGATGCAGGACCTCTTTCTCTCTCTTTCTGCCTCTGTCTCTCTGTAACTCTGCCTTTCAAATAAATAAAATCTTTTTTAAAAAATCACAATGCGGCATCGCCTCATTGTGATTAGAATGGCTATTATAAAAAAGATAAAAGATAATAAATGCTGGTAAAGATGTGGAGAGAACGAACCCTTACATCCTGGTGGTGAAGGCATCATGGAAAACAGTACCAACGTTCATTAACACACTAGAAATGGAACACATGACCCAGCAATCCCACTCCTGGGTGGGAATGAAATCAGTATGTTGAAGAGACATCTGCATTCCCATGTTCACTTTGGCATTATTCACAACAATCAAGAGATGTGACCAACTAAGTGTCCATCGACTGATGGAGAAGGAAATATAGCACATATACACAATGGAGTATTTTTTTTTTTTTTTTTTTTTTTTTGACAGGCAGAGTGGACAGTGAGAGAGAGAGACAGAGAGAAAGGTCTTCCCTTGCCGCTGGTTCACCCTCCAATGGCCGCCGCTGCAGCCGGCGCACCGCGCTGATCCGATGGCAGGAGCCAGGATCCAGGTGCTTTTTCCTGGTCTCCCATGGGGTGCAGGGCCCAAGCACCTGGGCCATCCTCCACTGCACTCCCTGGCCACAGCAGAGAGCTGGCCTGGAAGAGGGGCAACCGGGACAGAATCCGGCGCCCCAACCGGGACTAGAACCCGGTGTGCCGGCGCCGCAAGGTGGAGGATTAGCCTATTGAGCCACGGCGCCGGCTCCACAATGGAGTATTACTTCAGGAGGAAATCCTGTTATTTGTGACATCTCAGACCTACAGGACATTCTGTAAAATAAAGCAGACAGAGAAAGACCCATTTTTGTGGAATCTAAAAGAATTGACCTCCCAGAACCAGAGAGTAGAATACAGCCTGCTGGAGGCTGCAGAGTTGGAAGGAGCAATTGGGAGAGGCTGGTCCACAAGCACACAGTTACAGATAGGAGGACTGCATTTTGTTTTATTGCCCAGCAGGGGACGACACTTTATAATAACGTATTAGATAATTCAAAATAGCTAGGAAAGAGGATTTTGAAAGCACCATCATGAAGAAATGAAGAAATGCTTGAAGTGACAGGCAAATTGCACTTAATTGACAAACAATGTACATATGTATCGAAACATGAAAGCATATACCATAAACTTGGATAACTAGTATGTGCCAATTGAAAGCAACACTTGGAGAAGAGGACTTTAGAAATGGAATATCTGGGCTGGAGTTAGGATACTCTGATTTCAGCTATCTTGTGGACTGGGGCTGTCAGGGTGACTTTCGTCTCATTCACCTGGATTATCTTCAAATACTGCCTACTTATAAGAGACCACTGGGGCTGGTGCCATGGCGCAGTAGGTAAATCCTCCGCCTGTGGCGCCAGCATCCCATATGGGTGCCGGTTCTAGTCCTGACTGCTCCTCTTTCGATCCAGCTCTCTGCTATGGCCTGGGAAAGCAGAAGATGGCCCAAGTGCTTGGGTCCCTGCACCCACATGGGAGACCGAGAAGGGGCATCTGGCTCCTGGCATTGGATCGGTGCAGCTCTGGCAGTTGCGGCCGTCTGGGGAGTGAACCAACAAAAGGAAGACCTTTCTCTCTTTCTCCCTCTCACTGTCTGTAACTCTACCTCTCAAATTAATAATAATAAAAAAAAAAGTAGAATAGACCATGCTTAGGAAAGAGAGCTTCAAACACTACAATGGTTTTTCAAGCTATTCTCAATGCTCATTATTTTTTAGAAGACTTAAGTTGAAAGTCAGAGTTAGAGAGAGGGCAAGATAGAAAGGTCTTCCATCTGCTGGCTTACTCCCCAAATGACCGCAATGGCCAGAGCGGAGCTGATGTGAAGCCAAGAGCTTCATCTGGGTCTCCCAAGTGGGTGGCACTGTGCCATCGTCTGCTGTTCTTCCTAGGCAGTCCAGCAGGCAGCTGGGCTGGAAGTCGAGCAGCTGGGACTCAAACTGGTACCTACATATGATGCCTGTGTCACAGTTTGCAGCTACGTGATATGCCGCAACATCGACCCCATCAATTCTCATTAACAGTATGTCACCCCTCAGAAAGAAAAGTGCCACTTAATACTTGATCTTCGAAGCCACCATCCTATTTGGGCACGGTTTGTGTCCCTGTTGCTCCACTTCTAATCCAGCTCCCTGGTAATGGCGTGGGAAAAGCAGCAGCAGATGGTCCAAGTATTTGGGCTCCTGTCACTCACAAAGGAGTCTCAGATGGAGCTCTTGGCTTCTGTCTAGCTGAGCCCCAGTTGTTGCGACCATATAGGGAACAAACCAGTAGATAGAAGATATCTAGGCCAGCGCCGCGGCTCAATAGGTTAATCCTCCGCCTTGTGGCACCGGCACACCGGGTTCTAGTCCCGGTTGGGGCGCCAGATTCTGTCCCAGTTGCCCCTCTTCCAGGCCAGCTCTCTGCTGTGCCCCGGGAGTGCGGTGGAGGATGGCCCAAGTGCTTGGGCCCTGCACCCCATGGGAGACCAGGAGAAGCACCTGGCTCCTGCCTTCGGATCAGCGCGGTACACCGGCCGCAGTACAGCCCGCGGTGGTCATTGGAGAGTGAACCACCGGCAAAGGAAGACCTTTCTCTCTGTCTCTCTCTCACTGTCCATTCTGCCTGTCAGAAAAAAAAAAAAAAAAGAAGAAGAAGAAGAAGAAGAAGATATCTAACTCTTTCAAATAAATAATCTTTAAAATGTCCCAATTTATAAAAAAAAATTATATATTGATTAGGGGCCAATATTGTGGCACAGCGGGTTAAGCTGCTGCCTGGGACACCAGCATCCCAAATTGGAGTGGTGGTTTGATTCCCTGCTGCTCCACTTTCAGTCCAGCTCCCTGCTAATGTGCCTGAGAAAGCAGGAGAAGATGACTTAGGTACTTAGGCCCCTGCCACCCACATAGGAGACCAGGATGGACTCAGCCCAGCCCTGGCCGACACAGGCATTTGGGGATTGAACCAGTGGATGGAAGGTCTCTTTCTCTCAGTGTCTCTCCCTCTCTCCTGTCCCTCTGCTTTTTCAAATAAATAACATAAACCTTAAAAAAAATGTATATGATGAGCTGCTACACCGACTGCTTGGTTGTAATGCACTTCACCCTGTATGAGATATGGACGCAGAGCAGCTCTGCTGCACAGCTGTTAGTGCAGGGCAGACTGCTGTAGGAAGCACTGTGTGAGGCAGACGACTGCCCCCTCCTCACAATGGGACCCTCGAGCACTGGAGTCAGCGTCACTGCCATGGGCCAGGGTATGTGAAATAAAAGGGGCACTTAAATCATGACACTGAGATGGACTGGGTTATGAAACATAATGGTCCAGGTGACGCTAGTGACGGCACAGTGTGACTTGGTGGACTACCACTTGGTTACACCAAAAAGGAAATAGTTCAGTTCTTTCAAGGGCTGGAAATCGTGACAAGGGGGTAACACTGACGACGGACTACTGGGGAGAAGCGCGGGGGAGGCCTCGTGCAGTCTGCTTCAGAGAAGACAGCAGAAAATGCTCTGGGAGGACACCTGGCAGGAACAGGGCTCAGGGAGACTGGGATCTTCCCAAGATTGTGCAGCAATCTTAAATGCTGGAAATTCGCGTTCTTCCTCTAAGGATAAGTTCCTGAAGAACTTTCAACAAGAAGCTGAAATAAAGGATCACCGTTAGGCTTCCATTTGCTGATGAGAAACAAAGGAGTGAAATCCTTCACAAGAAAATACAACTCTGGGCCGGCGCCGCGGCTCACTAGGCTAATCCTCCGCCTAGCGGCGCCGGCACACCGGGTTCTAGTCCCGGTCGGGGCGCCGGATTCTGTCCCGGTTGCCCCTCTTCCAGGCCAGCTCTCTGCTGTGGCCAGGGAGTGCAGTGGAGGATGGCCCAGGTGCTTGGGCCCTGCACCCCATGGGAGACCAGGAAAAGCACCTGGATCCTGGCTCCTGCCATCGGATCAGCGCGGTGCGCCAGCTGCAGCGCGCCGGCCGCGGCGGCCATTGGAGGGTGAACCAACGGCAAAGGAAGACCTTTCTCTCTGTCTCTCTCTCTGTCCACTCTGCCTGTCAAAAAAAAAAAAAAAAGAAAAAAAAAGAAAAAAAAATACAACTCTGGAGATATTTTTAAAAAATGAAACTTCTGACACATAGGTCAAACAGAGACTGGGAGTTTAGGTTCTAGGATTGGGTAAACCTGTGATGGGCAGAACCCTGTGTGCCTTGACTGACACTGGGACGTAACTCGGTTTCCTAAGCCACAAAGTCTCCACAGCCTCACTGAAACACGGGACACTCACGCCCAGCGAGTGGAGAGCGCAGTGAACTGCAACTCTGTACACAAAAGGACAGCCTAACTAACACCTGGCTTAGTGAGCTCAATCAGAATCAATCAGAAGGCATCAATGTATCTCTGCACCTTCCATCTAGCCACACACCAATTCATCCTTGAGGGCAGATACCTGCAAGTCTAGCAAATGGCTCAGACAGTACAAATAATTTACAGGCAATTACACTGTCAAAAGACTTCCCGAGTAAGTGAACTAGCTCTATCAGAGCAGGAGCTCACCTTTTGGGTCGAGGAAGGCCCATGGGGGTGAGATTGGGATCTGGTTTAGGAATGGTTTTCCGGATGCGAATCTGCGAGACTTTCTTTGGCCTCTTCTCTGGTTCAGCCTATTTTTAAGGGTTAAGGGAAAAAAAAGATGGCCAAACTGTAAGATACATGAAAATATATACATATACCCCTTTCTTGACACTTAAGACATTACCTGCATCTGTTTATAGATGATTCTAGTAAGCAGTTCCTGACAAACTCCCCTTCTATTCCTGCTGTGATCTCAGCAACTGCCCATTGTATTATGAAAGCAGCACTGTGTGTTCCGCTCAGGTACTGAGATCATCAATATGAATCCCTACCACTGCGGGCAGATGTTTGCAAAATTCAAGAAAGCTATCATTCACTCAAACATCATATTTCCTCTGAATGTACAAGATAGATCTTTGGATAGAGCTTTAACAATATCTGGAATGTCTAGACAGAGAAATTCAGTATCTTTTTTACTGGCCAAGCAGAAAAACTCCTGGCAGAGTACCCCTCAGGATTCAGCTAACCCGGAAGGTGGCGGGTAAAGACAGTCCGGGGCCAGTCTGTACCTGCCACCTGACATGGGTCAAGGATGGAGACTCCAGCGCCACCAGCCCCAGATCCACCAGCGTTTGGCACTTACCTCCTTCTGCTCTGGAGGGCTGCTCTGCGGTCGTGGGCACGCTGCTGTCACCCCATCGAGCTCGGCAAATGCAGGGACTTGGAGCTCGGAGGCTGAAAGCAGGAGTTGGCTGACAGCTGGCTCCGTGACCAAGCAAGACTTTGGTACCAAGGCAGCAAACGAAGGCTCCAGCCTAGCATCACACAGAGACAGGGGAGAAAAGTATGACAGGGCTTCACTTGCCACCCACAGCACGTTCACCTTCCCAACTTCTGGAGCAGAGCTGAAGAACTCCCTTCTTTCCAGGAATGACATCTCCAGTTAAGCTGTTTTCTAGTCATTTCTGGACACACCCTGTGTCTAAACAGGTAAAAAACTGTAAGAACCTGGAAAATTCATTTCATTAGGATGGAGTAGTTTGATATGGAAAAATGTAAAAAGGAACAGACTTCTGGGGGGAGATGACGGTGAACTGAACAAGTAAATACTCAAAGGAGTTCAATCCCATCTATGGACGGAGGTTGGCTAAAGGACAAGGCGAGAAATAGCTTCAGAGGGGACTTCTGGCACAATAAGCTGGTTAGTGATTTTCACATAAAACAGAAGTGCTGTCAGTTCCACCACTCTAGTCACTACTAGTAACAGAACACATGTGACTCTCAGATACGTCTGAGAAATGAGGATCAGGTTACAGGCATCTTATGCTTGACTCCAGTAATAGTGTGCGTGCATACACGAGTGCACACGCACGCACACACACACACACTCTCTCTCTCTCAGGTCCTGTGTGCCATGCCATGTGCCATCGGGGCCTTACCTCATCTGGTTGCCGCTGGTGCTGTATGGAGCTTCCACGCCTGGAAGAGGCACATATGGTAACATGGTGTGGCTGCAGCGGAGCAAAAGTGACAGGTCAGCACAGTGGGACAGGAAAGGTTCTGATGTTACCGTGGATGTTAGCGTAATTAGACCTCAGGGAGACAGAAACGTAGAATCCTCACAACCACCAGAAACACAGCAGAATGGAGACAGGTTAATAGGAAAGTTATTTCCCAACTTAAATGGAAAAAGAGAGAAATAAGAGGACAGGTAGACAAAGGATGGGAACAAAATGACTTTGAGTCTCACAGCTTTTAACCAAGTTGTTAAAAAGTGTATTATTAAAGATTTTATTTAAAAAAAAAAAAAAAAAAACAACTTGGAGGTGGGCCGGCGCTGTGGTGTAGTAGGTTAAGCCGCTGCCTGCAGTGCCCGCATCCCTAATGGGCGCCGGTTCAAGACCCAGCTGCTCCACTTCCGATCCAGCTCTCTGCTATGGCCTGGGAAAGCAGTAGAAGAGGGCCCAAATGCTTGGGCCCCTGTACCTGCCTGGGGGACCCAGAAGAAGCTCCTGGCTCCGGATCGGCACAACTGCGGCTATTGTGGCCAATTAGGGAGTTAACCAAAGGATGGAAGGCCTCTCTCTCTCTCTGTCTCTGCCTCTCCTTCTGTGTAACTCTGACTTTCAAATAAATAAATAAATAAATCTTTGAAAAAAACTTTAAGGATAAAAATATACTGGTATATTATATATACAGCTTGGTATTAGCCCTATTAAAAGTAAGATTTGCCAGTTTTGATAACCTTACAAAAAAAAAAAAAGGGAGAAATCTATTTTAGTATTAATCACTAATAGATGTGTTGACATATGATGTAGGTTTTTATATTTTATTTTATTTTATTTTATTTTATTTTATTTTATTTTTTTTTGGACAGGCAGAGTGGACAGTGAGAGAGAGAGAGAGAGAGAAAGGTCTTCCTTTGCCGTTGGTTCACCCTCCAATGGCTGCCACGGCTGGCGCGCTGCGGCCGGCGCACCGCGCTGATCCGATGGCAGGAGCCAGGAGCCAGGTGCTTTTCCTGGTCTCCCATGGGGTGCAGGGCCCAAGCACCTGGGCCATCCTCCACTGCACTCCCTGGCCACAGCAGAGGGCTGGCCTGGAAGAGGGGCAACCGGGACAGAATCCGGCGCCCCGGCCGGGACTAGAACCCGGTGTGCCGGCGCCGCTAGGTGGAGGATTAGCCTAGTGAGCCGCGGTGCCGGCCTTTGGTTTTTATTTTTTAACTTTTTTTATTATTTGACAGATAGACAGTGAGAGAGAGAGAGAGAGAGAAAGGTCTTCCTTCCGTTGGCTCACTCCCCAAATGGCCACTATGGGAAGGGGGGGTTGTGGGTGGGAGGGACGGTACGGGGGGGGAAGCCATTGTAACACATGAGTCGTACTTTGGAAATTTATATTCATTAAATAAAAGATAAAAAAAAAAATAGCAAAAAAAAAAAAAAAAAAAAATGGCCACTATGGCCGGCGCTGCATCGATCCGAAGCCAGGAGCCGGGTTCTTCTTCCTGGTCTCCCATGTGGGTGCAGGCTCCCAAGCACTTGGGCCATCCTCCAATACCCTCCCAGGCCACAGCAGAGAGCTGGACTGGAAGAGGAGCAACCGGGACTAGAACCCGGCGCCCATATGGGATGCTGGTGCCACAGGCGGAGGATTAACCAAGTGAGCCATGGCACTGGCCCCGGTTTTTATTTTTTTTTTAAAGATTTATTTGTTTAGGCTGGCGCCATGGCTCACTAGGCTAATCCTCTGCTTGCGGCGCCGGTACCCCAGGTTCTAGTCCTGGTCAGGGCGCTGGATTCTGTCCCGGTTGCTCCTCTTCTAGTCCAGCTCTCTGCTGTGGCCCAGGAAGGCAGTGGTGGATGGCCCAGGTCCTTGGGCCCTGCACCCGCATGGGAGACCAGGAGAAAGCACCTGGCTCCTGGCTTTGGATCAGCACAGTGCACTGGCCGCAACGCGGCAGGTGAACCAATGGAAAAAGGAGGACCTTTCTCTCTGTCTCTCTCTCTCTCTTACTGTCTAACTCTGTGTCAAAAAAAAAAAAAAAAAAAAAAAAAAGATTTATTTATTTGAGCAGTAGTAACAGAGAGGAAGGGACAGAGAGAAAGGTCATTCATCCATTGGTTCACTCCTCAAATGGCCATAACAGGCAAGAGTTGGGCTCATCCAAAGCCAGGAGCCAGGACCCTATGTGTGTACAGGGGCCCAAGCACTTGGGCCATCTTCTACTGCTCTCCCAGGCCATAGCAGAGTTAGATGGGAAGAGGAGCAGCCAGGACTTGAACTGGTGTCCACATGGATGCCAGCACTGCAGATGGTGGCTTATCCCACTATGCCACAGGGCCAGCCCCTGGAGTGCTATTTTGTGCATCTTAAAGTAAAACTGAGTTTCTTCTGAGTTTGGAACATAGTGCAGATTTAATTAACAAGGTATCTGTGTGATGACCATACAACTCATCCCCTCTCAAAAGAAAGAGGAATTTTTTTTTTTTAATAGGCATAGTTAGACAGAGGAATTCGTTTAACAGCAAGGAAAAACACAGATAATGCAGGTTCTAGAATAACATTTAGTACCAACTCAAGTTTCCCTAAGGAGTAGCGAAAAAAGGTAAGAGGGGCAAGGCTAGAATACTGGGAAAAGGAGCCAACCAAATCAGGAATGAATCAATGAGAAGAAAAAGTCCCCACTTGAATTTAAATAAAATAAAGTAAAATAAAAAGCTAGACATGGGAGGAAGAAACCATCCCACACCAAGAAAGACAAGGCAGGTGGGAAAGGTTCTGAAGAAGAAAAGGGTCACAGGGTGAAATGAAGACCCTGCACACCCACCTCAGGAACAACATGGCGTAAAGGTAACACGACTTAGAGCTGTGGCCTAACAGCAGTAATGAGGGGCCATAGTAGGTTGAGCCTCTGCTGCAGTGCTGGCATCTCATATGGTGCCGGTTCTGGTCCCGGCTGCTCCACTTCTGATCCAGCTCCCTGGTTGTTTTTTTTTTTTTTTTTTTTTTTTTTTTTTTTTTTGACAGGCAGAGTGGACAGTGAGAGAGAGAGACAGAGAGAAAGGTCTTCCTTTGCCGTTGGTTCACCCTCCAATGGCCGCCGCGGCCGGCGCGCTGCGGCCGGCGCACCGCGCTGATCCGATGGCAGGAGCCAGGATCCAGGTGCTTTTCCTGGTCTCCCATGGGGTGCAGGGCCCAAGCACCTGGGCCATCCTCCACTGCACTCCCTGGCCACAGCAGAGAGCTGGCCTGGAAGAGGGGCAACCGGGACAGAATCCGGCGCCCCGACCGGGACTAGAACCCGGTGTGCTGGCGCCGCTAGGCGGAGGATTAGCCTAGTGAGCTGCGGCGCCGGCTTTTTTTTTTTTTTTTTTTTTAATGAAGATTTATTTATTTGAAAGGCAGAGTTAGATCCAGAGGTAGAGAGAAAGAAAGGTCTTCCATCCGCTGGCTCACTCCCCAGATGGGCGCAAGGGCCGAAGCTGGGCAGATCCGAAGCCAGGAGCCAGGAGCTTCTTCCGAGTCCCCCACTTTGGTGCAGGGGCCCAAGGACTCGGGGCACCTTTCACTGCCTTCCAAGGCCACAGCAGGGAGCTTGATCAGAAGAGGAGCAGCCAAGATTAGAATCAGCGCCTATATGGGATGCCAGCACTGCCGGCGGCAGCCCCACCCTTTATGCCACAGCAGCAGCCCCAGGCTCCCTGTTAATAATGTTCCTGGGAAAGCAGTGGAAGAGGCCCAAGTGTTTGCGCCCTTGCACCCACGTGGGAGACTGGTAAGAAGATCCTGACTCCTGGCTTTGAATCCACCCAGCTCTGGCGGTTGTGGCCATTTGGAGAGCAAACCAGCATATGGAAAACCTCTCTCTCTGTCTCTAATAAATAATCTTTAAAAAAAAAAAAAGGCAAGTAATGATGAGAAGTCAGTGATATACCATACACCACACCAGACAATAAAAGCAGTACACCACCCTTTAAAATTCTGTGAGCATTCTCATGCAACGCTATGGCTGCCTTACAAGAACTGAGTGTTCCCATTTAACTATAAGATAATTACTTAGAATAGTAACTTCTCTTTCATATCAGTGAGGTTTAATTTCTGGTGTGTTTTCCTGAAACCCTTTCATTTATATAGTTTTCTGCTAGGATGCTCAGGGAACTACAAAATATATAACAGCAGCTTTTAAAGGTCAGAGGATAAGTCTACCTAAGAGACCGTCCAGACAAAGAACAAGGTCTCTTCCAGACTATTTGGAATATTAAGGGATTTTTTTTTTTTTTTTTTTTGCTGGAGTTTCAGTTTTCAACTATAGCAATGGTAAAGGTAAATCTAGAAATTCTAAAGTTTCTGTTTACCCAAAGAATTATAAATAAGAGGATTTACTGGTCTGGCTCAACCTCAACTGTTGGGAGTGAACCAGTGTACGGAAGATTTCTCTGTGTGTGTTTCTGTCACTCTATCTTCCAAATAAAAGGGAAAAAAAATTTAAAGGCAGAAGTTCATAAACTACATTTGGTGATTCTTCCATAATATCCTATATCCTTTCTACCCCTTTCTACTAAGTTAAGTACTGGTTGTGTAATGCTTTGTGAAGAAGCTATAATTACAAGTCATCATTTGGACCAGGTATAATTGTTGGCTTGTAATGGATGTTTGTTCCTTATGTGGTAGGGGCAAAGGGAAGAGAATGGATGGTCTAAGGAACGAATGAGAGAAAAGATTAGTACAAGACAGAGAAATAGACCCTGCAGGGGAATTAGGGGTGGGTGGGTGAGGGTCTACATTTAAGAATTACCACTGCAGGGCAGCTCTTTGGTACGGCAGTCAAGAGACCACTTGGGACACCCGCATTCCATACTGGAGCACCTGGGTTCATGTCCTGGCTCTGCTCCTGATTTTAGCTCCTGCTAATGTGTACCCTGGGAGGCAGCAGGTGATGGCTCAAGTACTTGGCTGGGTCCCTGCCACCCACAGGCAAGACCCATATTGAGTTCCTGGCTTCTCGGCTTCCAGGCTTCAAGCTCCCACCTGGCTCAGCCCAGGCTGTCGTGGGCTTTGGGGAGACCAACAGATGGGAGATCTTTCTGTCTCTCTCTCTTTTTTTTTTAAATAGATCTATTTATTTATTTGAAAGGCAAAGCAACCGAGAAGAGGAGGTGGGGTGGAGTGGGGGTCTTCATCTGCTGGTTCACTCTCCAAATGGGAGAGTCAATGGCCAGAGCTGTACCGCTCTGAAGCCAGGAGCCAGGAGGTTGTTCCAGGTCTCCCACACAGGGGCACAAGAACTTGGGCCATCTTCCACTGCTTTCCCAGGCCAAAGCAGAGAGTTAGATAGGAAGTGGACCAGCCAGGACTCAAACTGGCACTCATATGGGATGCCGGCACTGTAGGTGGCAGCTTTACCCGCTACGCCACAGCGCTGGCCCCTCTCTGCCTTTCAAATAAATTAAATTAATTTTTAGAAAAGAATACTGTTGCATTTTCTCAGCAGATAATCAGAAAAATAAGACAAAAAATGCAGACACAAAGACAATTTGAAATAGCCTTTCCAGCAGGGCTCCTCTCTCCCCAGTGACAGAAGCGAACGCGGGACATTTGCAAAAAACAGCAGACAGATTTTACCTGCTTGTGGTGTCCAGACTTGGCTGCTCCTTGCTGCGAGTGGACTGAAAAGCAGAGATTTCAAAGGAGCAGGCAGAAGGTCCATGCTGGCTCCAAATGGACAGCACTCTGCCCACCGAGTAGGGCAGAGAACAAAAGATCTTGTCTGCTATGGAGGCTGGAGACCTCAACCCCTTTAAGCCCTGTGTAAACTGGGTCAGGAAAAGCCTCTGCACAGTAGGCATGTGGCTGGAGAAGCTCCGTTTTTTTGTCCAGATTCGATAACATCCTGGTGAACAAAGTGCGAGAAGCGTGTGAAGGCCAAGGACAGAGCAGTCTGCTCTGGGCTGGACCACGGCAGTGTCCCCGCAGTCTGGCAGAGGAGATGGCCGCGGTGGAGGGGCCTGAGTGTGGGCCTGAGTGTGGAGGCCAGTGTCTTCCCTGAATGCGGCCATCCCAGGGCAGCCATGGGACAGGAAGAAAGAGAAGGTCCACTTGGGAGGTTGAGACGCACACTGGGCAGCCTTTCCTAAGGCGAGCCTCGCGGGAGCACAGTGCTCAGGGAAAGTCCTCGAGGACTCAGTCGCGCCATCTGAGCCCGACTTCACAGGGAAGGACACTGGGAAGATTCTGGAACCAAACAGCAGTGATGGCATCCTGTTGCTCAGGTCGATGAAGCTCATCTTGATGCCTTCAAGAGAATAAAGTGCCAGGGGCTTACTGTCGGGCCTTTTATCCCATGCGCTAGCTGCCAGATGTGGGTTCAGCAGCATTGTACTGTATGAAAACCCATCGAGGAGCCGTTTATATCTGAGCCGCTTGAAGCTTTTAGCCGCTGGAACAAGTTCAGAGGAACACCGCCGATATCGAGTAAGTTTCTGGGTCTTTGTGGCCGGGGCGAGTTTGGAGGCAAGGACAGACAGCTTGTTTAGTAAGGCTGATTCTTTGGTAGGCTTCCTAAAATTCAGGCTCCTCAGGAGATGGCACGGAGTAGCCCTCTGCTTTGGTATGTGGCTGATGGAGCTCCTGGTAGGCAGGGTTTCAGGCTCTGACCGTGTGGGCACAGAGACAACCCGTGAACTGAGAAGCCTGTAGGCTTTTGTGGGGATGGGCGCAGAGGGACCCTTTACAAAGGCAGAGCAGCTCGCTCTACTCATTCTTCTCCCCACACTGACTTGCTCCTGACAGGAAACTCTCTTACACCTTCGGTGGGGCTGCTTCTTTACAGGAAGCACTCCTTTCTGATGGGAAGTGTTCCCAAAGGCACCACAGATCGGATCACACCCAGCAGAGGAGGGATCCTGCACTTTCTGGGGGTCACCAGGGAGGCAAGGGCCCGTGTACAAGGCAGCGTCCTTTAACGGATGGCGGAAGCTTTCCTCCTTTGGGTCCTCCTTGGCTGGCTTTGCTACGGTGATTTCTTTCGTCTTGGCAGACTCATCTTGGCCAGCTTTGGGCTGGTTCTTAGTTTGTGCCGCGTCTGAAAACACATCAGATGCTGTGCGTCGCTCCAGCGCTCCTTTCGGATGGGTCTGTTCCTCTTCCTTCTTCTGCACGCAGCACGTTGCCTCGCTTTGCTGTTTTCCAGCTTCACTGGGCCTCCTTGGGCACGTAAAGGCCTGGGAAATCTCACTCGTGTCATCACCACCACCGCCAACAGCACCACCAGGCTCTCTGGTACTCACATCAGATGCCTCCCCAATGGTTCCGGGCCCCACTCGTCCACTCTGAGACTCTTCAGGTTCTCTGGTAGCTTCTGTTTCCACTGCCAAAGGCAAATGTCTATGACACTCTGTGCCAGCATTCTTCTTCACACTGATGTACATGCTGTCTCCCTCACTACAATTACTTGCGTCCCTGGGTATGCATTCCCCTTTCTCATGCAGAACTACTGAGCAGCCCTTTAGATTTTCACAAAGCGTTTCATCATCTTTTGGCTTAAGAATGTTTTTCAGGGCAGTTTCTTCACTTTTAATATTTTTTCCTGATTTTTCTTGAGCAGATGGACACAAAGACATTATCTCAGTGGATTCCAGTCTCCCGAAGGAAACAGAGTTCTCATCTTGGCCTCTAGAAGACAACTCTTTTGAGGAAATCTTAGAGGTATTTTCCTTGCCAAGGAGAACATTTATTTCTGCTTTTGCGCCCTCAGTCATTCTTTGCGTTTCTTTCAGAAATGCTCCTTTACTTTGCTGTTCAGGACAAACATCATTTAAAGACAGCTTTACTCTGTCCAATATTCTTATATTTGGTTCATGATCTGCAAAAGACTCCTTCTTATGCATCTTATGGGCACAAGAGTCTGGACATTTTTCTTTTTCACAGTCTTTTAAACATTGGCAAACTTTCTCTTCACATGATTTTTTTATTTCAAGAGATTCTACTACAGAAGCAGTAGCATTTGGGAAGGCTGAGTCCTGGTCAGTTGTTGCTGTAAATGCGATATCTCTCTGAGACAAGGTACTCCTTAAGGTTTCTTGGAATGTCACTCTACCTTGCCTTACGGCACTACCAAGCGTGCCAGATACTTCTACACCCAGCATGCCTTCTGCAGGCTCATTACTACAGGCTGCACAGACAGCATCTACTATTCCGTGTGTGGACTCTTCACAACCAGAAACACTTCCAATGGCTGCTTCTGCGTTGCCTTTCTTTGGACCACTAGACAGAGGGTTACTACTGCCTGAAGTGATTAGCTGATCCTGTGGGTTGTGACTTCCTTCTCTGTGAGGCCCTGTGAGGGTCTCTATCCCTTCCCTCTCCAGTGCCTCCTCAGCTGGCCTATCTTCACATCTGCATCCACCTGGTCTGTTTTGTTTACTCTGCCAGTCAAGGACGTCCTCTGCCTTACGATGGACAGTTTCAACTGCTCGGTTCATGTTTTTAAAACTGGAGAACGTAACAGTAGGAGCCTGCTCCAACAATTTCTCAGGACTTGGAATGTTTGCAGATTGGTTTAGTCCCTGTGCAGCACAATCAGAGATGTTATATTTACAAAACGCAGTCTCTCCGGGTAGATCTCGTTCCTTTCTTTCTACCCCTTCCCCACTGGACTTGATGCAAGCGGTGGCTTTGGCTGAAGATCCGTTGTTTAACATCCCTGCTGCCGTTTTGTTTCTGAACTTATCTCCTAGAAGGCTGTCTTTAGTTTCCGCCTCATCAAGTTCACTTTCCTCTGATGTACACATCACTTTACAGGCACTACTTTCCACAAAGTCTTCCCTTCTCTGGGAGCACAGAACACAGTGCTCATTTTCAGGTCTTGAGGCTGCAAAGTTATTGATGTCCACAGTGGTTCTGCCAGACACAAAGGCAGCACAGGTGGAACACGTGTTCTCCTCTGGTACACTTTTTCTCACACAATGACAGCTGGAGGTACGCTGAGATGGAACATTCGTGCATTCTATGACCTCTTGAGGTGAACCAGCTGCTTCTTTCTTATCTGACAGAAGACGGGAATGTAGATCTTCAGTTCCTGAATCAGCCGTTTCTCTCTCTCCTTCAAGGCTTCCTGGTTTGATGTTTAAGGTTGGACTGTTTGAGGTGGCACCACAGGTCTTGTGACCTGGTGGAGAGTGGTCTTTTGCTTTTGTCTCAATGGGAATGGTCTGAGTACCAGCAATGACATCTGCTCCGTCCTCTGAAGGAGGCTGATGGCTCTGTTGGACACCCTCACTTGCTGGGAAAGGCATCTCTTTGTTTCTACTTAGTACAGAATCTGTTGGCAACTTTGTATGGTCTTGAGAATTAAGGGGCACTTGATTAAAAACACATTCGTTTTCGAGTTTGTTTACAACGAGTTCATTGGTATAAGAAAGTTTATTCATCTCACAGGTAATGCTCTGTTCATCTGAACACGGAATATCACCCTGTGAGGTCTGTATACCTTTTTCTGACTCAGCTCTGTAATCAAAATCTGGAGATGTTTGTAACTGAGTAGTACCTTCCTGGGGTTTGGATCCATCATTAGGCATAGAACTTATCTGATCTTCTGGCCTTAAACTCAGAAGGGATTTTCTTTCAGGCAGAAAACCATGACATGATACTTCATTTAACTGAGTGTCACCGTCCAGATTTCTCTGGATGCTAACTGAGGAGTCGGAGTCTTCACTACAAATCTTTTCATGTAACATACCAGGTTCTATAGTGGTTGTCCGTTTCGGCTCCTCAATCTGCACCAAGGAGGAAAAACTGTTTTGTTTATTACCTTGAGTATCTGAAGTGACTTTCAAATCATTGTTTTTGAACACTATTTCCACGGCTTCAGGAGAAGAACTGGGCACCGAGGACGCAGGGCTCTCTGCATGGAGACTGCCTTGCACGCAGTGGTTACTGTGGATATTTTCTTTTGGAGAATCAACAGTTTCTTTCTCACCAGAACAATAACCACTGGCATCCCTGACTGGCTGCCTGCCGTTAATAATGGAGAGTTCCCCTCGTTCACTAACAGGACTCAAAAGCTGTGCTCCATTTTCTTTGCTAGAAGCCAAGTTCTTACTTTGATCATCCTCACCAAAATAGGAATTGTCTGTCTTTTCAGCAGATCCCTTCAGCAAACCATCATTTTCAAAACCACCTTTTTCTAAGGATGTTATTCTGGATCCCGGACTCGTCAGACTCGATGTGCAACACGGAACTTTTGAATTTTCTCCCGAGGACTCCGCAGCGCCTGGGTTTCTCATGGCTGCGGGATCACCATGTGCAGAACTGTGTTTTTCCTTATGGTGGCCAAGTGTCTGTTGCTGACTGTCGTCTGCTTCACAGACGGGGTTTGACTTACACAACTCCTCCTTCCCATTGTCCACTTTGGAAATGGCACTGTTTCCTGGTAATAATGACAACCAAGAAGGACAAGTTTTTAATTCTTCACATGCTTTTTCCTTAGGAGTTGCTTCTGTTAATCCAGGGTCCATAAAATTTAAAGGCTTTAGGGAAATTAACGTGCTGGTTTCTGAAACCTCACCACTGGCCATGGTTCTGTCTACGTCTGGGTCTTTGCTGTGCCCAGCTGAGACACCTTTACTCACATTGCCGTTCTCGTGGCCTTCACTACTGTCCGTCTCAGTCCCATTGACCTTCATACCTTGTACTTCTGCAGGGGGTTCTACCACGCTTTCATTTATAATCTGCACACTTCGCTCTGCACAAAGAAATAAATTCAAATCAGTATGCAATCACTCCACCTTCATGAATTTTATCATGCAACCAGAGGCAACAAGTAAAAAGACTCAACTGGAAAAGATTCACAAAGTTAGTGTGCAGTACATTGGTTTTGTGCTTCTCTGAAAGGCAGGACAGCCAGCTAGAAGTGCACCTGGAAGAAACAGGTGATTCTGAACAAACATCTTCACCTAAATCTTACTTAACATCCATAAATCAAAGCTACAGCTGAATATAATATGAAAACACATGACTAGAACAGTCTTAAGAAGCGTCCATTTTAAAACATTAATAGGGTCATCTCATTATTAGATGACATTATTAGATGATGATCTTAATATTGGAACTCAGATAACTCATAGATTAAGTTACTTGAAAAACAATTATACATAAAACTTTATATACAGGAGATTACTCTAAGTTGAATATCAGTCTTGAACCCAATTACCTGCAGTAACTACCTTTCTGTAAGATTCAGCTGATAATTATCAAAGTCCATGGGTGTTTATTATAATCTTTCTACTTTTGAGTAAGTTTAAAAATGTTTTAAATATTCATAGTGGAAAACTTTCTAAGCATAATGCAATCAATAAAGGAGTTCTATTATACAGTTTCTCTGAAATCCTAGGTATAGGTTGCAGTAAAAAGAAATTACCTAAATTTTTAAAGTACATAACTACTTTCACCTATTTCACTTCTAGAAAACAAAGCCAAAGCTCTAGACATACACACATGTATGCATAGGCAGTTCACAAAGTTCATAGAAAATTGAATTAAAAGATAAAGCTCAGGGGCCAGCACTGTGGCATCGTGGGTAAAGCCACCACCTAAGTACCCAACATGGGTGCCGGTTTGAGTCCTGACCGCTCCACTTCTGATCCATTTCCCTGCTAATGTGCCTGGGAAAGCAGCGGAGGACAGCCCAAGTTGTTGGGGCCCTGCACCCATGTGAGAGACCTGGAAGAAGCTCCTGGCTCCTGGCTCTGGATTGGCCCAGCTCCAGCCATTGCGGCCAGTTGGGAAGTAAGCCAGTGAATGGAAGCTCTCTCTCTCTCTCTGCCTCTCCTTCTCCCTCTCTGTAACTGCTTTTCAAATAAATAAATCTTAAAAAAAAGGATAAAGTGTATTGTACTGCAAAAAATAATTTGAATTCAATGCATTTTTTTAAAGATTTTATTTATTTATTTGAGAGGTAGAGTTACAGACAGTGAGAGGGAGAGGAGACAGAGAGAAAGGTCTTCCATCCGCTGGTTCACTCCTGAAATGGCCACAACGGCCGGAGCTGCACTGATCCGAAGCCAGGAGTCAGGTGCCTCCTCCGGGTCTCCCATATGGGTGTAGGGGCCCAAGGACTTGGGCCATCTTCTACTGCTTTCCCAGGCTACAGCAGAGAGCTGGATTGGAAGAGGAGCAGCCGGGACTAGAACCGGTTCCCATACAGGATGCCAGCACTGCAGGTGGAGGAATAACCTACTGCGCCATGGTGCCAGCCCTATAGTGTTTCCATAATACGCATCTCCCGTGAACTTTCTGAAGATGCCTTGTATATATGTATGTGTATACATATTAGTATGTATGTAACAAGAAACAGGCAATAAATAGGTAAAGGGAAAGGCAAATTAATTTAAAGATCCAATTCCCATTGGAATATAAACTCCATAAGCATTAAGAATCTTGTTGGTTTCATCTGGATAATGCTTGGCATATAACAATACTCAATAAATATTTGTGGAATTCATAAATAAATGAAATTAGATTATATCAATAAATGCTATTACCTGAGTTTCTAGTTTTCCTATTCATTTCTTTAGGTACAAAAGTGGTAATTAATAGGACAAAAGGGGGTGGGTGTTGTGGCATGGTGGGTTAAGCCGCCACTGAAAACTGTTACATCCTGTATGAGAGGGCCTGGTGCTAAGTCCTGACTCAGCTTCAGATCCAGCTTCCTGCTAATGCAACCAGCAGGTAACAGATGATGACCCAAGTACTCCGGTTCCTGCCACCCAAGTGGGAGACCCAGATGGGAGTTCTGGCTGTGGCCTGGCTTTGGGAAGTGAATGGTGGATACAAGATCTCTTGCTTTGCTACCCTGCCTTTGCGGCGCCGGCACACCGGGTTTTTTTAATTTTTGACAGGCAGAGTGGACAGTGAGAGAGAGACAGAGAGAAAGGTCTTCCTTTGCCGTTGGTTCACCCTCCAATGGCCGCCGCTGCAGCCGGCGCACCGCACTGATCCGATGGCAGGAGCCAGGAGCCAGGTGCTTTTCCTGGTCTCCCATGGGGTGCAGGGCCCAAGCACCTGGGCCATCCTCCACTGCACTCCCTGGCCACAGCAGAGAGCTGGCCTGGAAGAGGGGCAACCGGGACAGAATCCGGCGCCCCGACCGGGACTAGAACCCGGTGTGCCGGCGCCGCAAGGTGGAGGATTAGCCTATTGAGCCACGGCGCCGGCCCATACCCTGCCTTTCAAATAAATAAATCTTTCAAAAAAAGAAAAAAAAAAAAAAAAGGAAGGAAGAGAGAAAGAGGAAAAAGAAAAAGAAAAGGAAAGAGAAAAGGGATGGGGTGGGGAAGAGCAAACTGGACTTGAGTGTGACTGCTACTTACCTGAGTCTCAGTTTCCACCTTTGTAAAAAGCACGGGAACCATACTCACCTCATTCATGGCTATATTGAGGGCTACATTAAATAATACAAATACAACACCACGTGGTACAGTGCCTGCCATATAAAGGAAAGTTGCCTGCTTTCCTTGATTCTTAATTTTGTAAGATCTAAGAGTAGTTAAAATGAAAATGACCAGGCATGTTTAGAGTTCTACTGCACAGTAGGCTAACTACAATATTTCAAAATGTTGTGCTTCAAAGGACAACATTAAGAAGTGGAGAGTGGCTAGAAGAAAATATTTGTAAACCATCTATCTGACAAAAGATTTGTATTTAGAATATATAAAGAATTCTCTGGATGATATAAAAGGAAAGTTTAAAAATGGGCAGAAGCATAAATTCTCATTCTTCCATCTGCAGGTTCACATCCCAAATAGCAACAAGGCCAGAGCTGAGCTGATCCGAAGCCAGGAGTCTTCTGGATCTCCCACATGCGTATAGGAGGCTGAGCACTTGGGCCATCTTCCACTGCTTTCCTAGGCACACTAGCAAGGAGCTGGATTGGAAGTAGAGCAGCCGGGACTCAAACCAGCGCCCATAGGGGATGCCAGGACTTCAGGCCCGGGCTTAACCTACTATGCCACAGCGCTGGCCCCTAGTTAGTTCATTTCAAGAGTACGGTATGGGAAAGGCTGGGGGAGGAGGACAACTTCATGGTGGATATCCCTGACAAACACTAGTTCATGATGCTAGTATGTGCCCTTGATGCAAGTGATGCACATGGCATTCTCTGTGTCATCTCTCTCTCCCAAACAGGTAACTCCAGGCTTATTATGAGAAAAACATCAGAGATCCTAATGGAGGGCTATTCTTTTTGAGCTATATTTTATTGGGGCTGGAGTTGTGGTGTAGCAGGTAAAGTTGCCACCTGCAGTGCCAGCATCCTATATGGATGCGGTTTGAGTCCTGGCTGCTCCACTTCCAAACCAGCTCTCTCCATGGCCTGGGAAAGCAGTGGAGGATGGCCCAAGGTGCTTGGGACCCTGCACCTACGTGACAGACCCAGAGGAAGCTCCTGGCTCCTGAATTCAGATTGGCCCAGCTCCAGCTATTGTGGCCATTTGGGGAGTGAACCAGTGGATGGAAGACCTCTCTCTCTGCTTCTCTGTAACCCTGCCTTTCAACTAAATAAATAAATTTTTTTAAAGATGTATTTTATTTGTTGGAAAGACTGAGCAACAGAGAGACAGGAGGAGAGATCTACCTGCTCACTGGTTCACTCCCTAAATGGTCACAAAAGCCAGGGCTGAGAAAAACCAGGATTCCATCCTGATCTCCCCTGTGGCTGGCAGTGGCCCAAGTACTTGGGTCATCTGCCTTCATGAGTACATTGTAGGAAGCTGGACTGGAAGTGGAGCAGCTGGGACTTGAACCAATGCTCCAATATGGGATGCTGACATTACAGGCAGCAGCTTAACCCACTGTATCAGAACACAGGCCCTGGAGAGATATTCTGCAAGTCACATGACTAGTACTCTTTCAAACTCAAGGACACCCAAAACAAGAAAAGTGAAAGGAACTGTCACAGATTAGAGGAGCCTAAGGAGACATGAAAATGGGATGCTGAGACGGAAAAAGACATCAGGTAAAAAGTAAGGCAATCTAGACGAACTGTGGACTTTAGTTAATAACGATAACGATGATGCATCAATATTGGCTCACTGATCTAAAAAATGCCTTCATAGTAGTGTAAAATGCTAACAGTAGAAGAAATTGGGACAGGTGCCAGAAGAAACTAGCATAGTAGTTAAGACATCGCTTGGGATGTCTATATCCCATGAGAGTGCCTGGGTTCAAGACTTGGCTTGGCTTTCAAGTTCCAGCTTCCTGCTAATGTTCACCCTAAGAGGCAGCAGTGATGGGTCAAGTTGTTGGGTCCCTGCTACCCATGTGGAAGACTCAGATTGGGTTTTGGGCTCCTGGCTTTAGTCTGGCCCAGCTGTCGCTTTTGAGGGCATCTGAGGAGTGAACCAGTAATGGAAGATCTCGGCTCTGTCACTCTGCCTTTGAAATCAATAAAAATAAGTTAATTAAAAATACAGGAGAAACTTCAAGCACTGCTGTGTGTGTGGAGATATGGAAACTCTACATATAAGGTTCAGCCTTTCTGTAAGATCAAAGCAGTTCTGAAAAGCAATCTAGGAGGGGCCGGTACTGTGGCATAGTAACTTAAGCCCCTGCACCCACGTGGGAGACCCAGAAAAAGCTCCTGGCTCCTGGCTTCCAATGGGCGCAGTTCTGACCTGGGCGCAGCTCCGACCATTGCGGCCAACTGGGGAGTGAACTAGAGGAAGACCTTTCTCTCTGCCTCTCCTTCTCTCTCTGTGTAATTCTGACATTCAAATAAATAAATAAATCTTTTAAAAAAAAATAGCAAAAGACTTAGATTGCGGTGGAATGAGAAGGTCATGCCAAGATGGCTGCTGGCAATGGAGCCTGCCTGGCAACAGGCTGTGATTGGATGGCTTCGGAAACTGCCTGGCAACAGGTTGTGATTGGTTAGGGCACAGACTGCCCCTTGACCGAACTGGCTGCCTTGGCTGTTTAAGCTGCTGTACCAACTGAAATAAACGAGTCTACAAGCTGCTTGCCTCTAGCCCACTTTCACCCAGCTCCCTGGGTCTGTGTGGTGACTCCGCGCCTCTTGCCCCCACCATGCTCCTCCTCTCAGAACAAATCAACCTCAACATCTGGCGCCCAACATGACTGAGAGACAGTGTGTCGGTCTCGGCGAGGTCCCCCCTTGATTTCAGCAAATAGGCCCCTTGGTGTTTTGTGTGCTGTTTGGTTCTGTGAGGGTGAGCACAGAACCCCCTCCTATGCCCCTTTCCTTGTCCTTGTCCTCGGTCTAAGTGACCCCAGGTTAGGCACACGTTGCCCAGAAGCGTACACTGCTTCTCAGCTCCCCCTTTTACTTTCAGTTCTCCCGGCAAATTCACATAAGGTACTGATCATCCCAGAATTCGGAACCAAGTCATCTTCCTCCACTCGGGAGAGGTGACACTCCGGCGATACCATGTGGGCATACAGCCTTGACTTAACAAACCAAGGAAGTCCCCCACTAAGCACAGGACATACTTATAATCTGACACACCACTGTCTGTTCATCTAAAGTAGGGAACCCCCTGCAGAATGCCATCAGCCGCTGAGGTGCTAGGAATTTGCTTTATTATGGCAGCAATGATGTGGGTGTCTTTCCTTTGACTAGAGTTGGCATGGCATGCCGCTCTTAAGCGCTCAAACATGGGGAAGATACCCCCCTCTCAGAAACCCACACAGATTACCAAACATAATGAATCTGAGTGATAAGAGCCTGTCACTCCAGGCCTCTGCCTCACAGACAACAGTTGATGACTTAGGGAGAGAGAGCTACGACAATGAAAATGACATGACAGCAGACAACGCAGGAATCCCCAGTCAGCCACGTCAGCTACCCCCCAAATATCCGTGGGATGAATTTAGATGACCTCGAGGCAATAACCCATGCGAGGTCATCTCATCCGCACCCAGTGAGGATCCCCACATTTGTGGCAGTCCCTGGGCACCCCAGGCTCTCAGGGCAGCCACTAGACCCCATCTGACCCGCATGTTTGCCTTTAATCTTGAAGTGGACACAGAATTCAGGCCCTGGATTCCAATGCCGTAGAAAGGCTTCCGCTAACCAAGGGCCGAGGATATGCTTGTGTCTTTCCAGAGAATGCAGGAAGCCCATTTGGGTACCAGCCAGAAACATCAAGCCTGCAACTGACAGTCAACCAGAACCAGCTGAACAAGACTGAGAGTCTGCCTTGTTAGCGGATACACCTGCCATATCATCCTACCCTGAGGAACTGCCCATAGCCACACACGTTACTGCTTTATACCCCACTAGCTCTGGTCAGCCACTCAAACGGCCCACATCCTGTGTGCAGTCATGTCATTCCTGATTACCATTGTTCTTCATTCCTACCTCCATCTGAGCAAGTACTCCTGTGGTCTCCCGTTTTGAGGGCTGGTCAATGATGGGTAAGATACCCTGGGAGACAACCTAAGACAGGTACAGCCACATATGGAAAACATATGGAAACGGGGTCAACAATGGTATGGCCAAGATTCATGCCTCCCATTGTTCAAAAATAAATGAAAGAGGGGAAACGTGGTAGAATGAGAAGGCCATGCCAAGATGGCTGCTGGTAATGGAGCCTGCCTGGCAACAGGCTGTGATTGGATGGCTTCGGAAACCACATGACAACAGAGCCTGCCTGGCAACAGGCTGTGATTGGTTAGGGCATAGACAGCCCCTTGACCAGATTGGCTGCCTAAGCTGCTGTACCACTGAAATAAACGAGTCTGCGAGCTGCTCGCCTCTAGCCCACTTTTACTGGGCTCCCAGGGTCTGTGTGGTGACTCTGCGCCTCTTGCCCTCTTCAAGCTCCTCCTCTCAGAAGGAATCTACAGCAACATTAGACATTCTTCCAAAGACATATAAATAACCAATAAGCACACCATTAGTCATTAGAGAAACACAAATTGAAACCACAATGAGATACTACTTCACAACCATTAGAATGGTTACAATCATTCTAAGAAAAAAAAAAAAGCCAGAAAATAAGTATTTCAGAGGATGTAGAGAAAATAAAGCCCTCCTAAATAGTTAGTGAGAATGCAAAATGGTGTAACCACCTTGGAAAACAGATGACAATTCCTCAAAATGCTCAACATAGAGTTAGCATATAACTCAGCAATTCCATCCAATGGAACTGAAAACTGCTGCTAAAACTTACATAAAAATATGTACATAAATATTTGGATAATAGTATAATAGCCAATAAGTGCAAACAATCCAAAAGTCCATCAATTGCTAAATGGATAAATTGAAATGTTAGTCAGCCACAAAAAGAAAGGAGTACTGATACGTGTTTTATCAGAGATGAAACCTTAAAATCCTTATACCAAGTGAATGAAGCCAGTCACAAAAGACCCCACTCTGTTTAAGGTCCCAGTCACATAAAATGTCCATTATAGACAAAGCTATGGTGGTAAAGTAGATCCGTGGTTCAAATATGAGGAATGAGGAAGCCCTGCCACTGGGATACAGGGTTTTCAGAGGAGTGACAAAAACCAAATTATGGAGATGGTTACACAAGGTGTAAGTATATAAAAAAGCCACTGATTGCATACTTTAAATAGGCGAACCTGATAATATGTAAATTATCTTAATCAAGCTGCTTTTTTAAAAAATAATTATAAATAACATCAGAAAACTTTGGTTTTGTTTTGATTTATCCTCCATGCTACCCAGGAAGATGTGTACTGGGTAGCAATACTGTGATGTCTTACAAAAGGAAACTCAATCATGCAGATTCACAAGGGCTGCCCACAGGTAGCAGGATAGCTAAAGACATTCCCACAAGCTTTCATCACTGTCCAGATTTATACTGACCACTGAATGGCTAGCTTTTTACACTGAAAATGAGTTAGTAATAAAAAGATGTTCAACTCCTCAACTAGATACACTGCTCATAGATATATAAGATAGTTATTACTGAACCGATAGGGGGTAACGCCAGTAAGATGGCTTCCCTGAGTTGCCTGGCAGGCTTCCTTCCACAAGGGACCAAAACAACAGGTATTTCCCCAGAGTGTTTCAGGCACAGGGGAAGGGGCTCCTGATGCAGAGCATGGAGATACATGATGATGCCTCTTTTTTTAATTTTTAAAGATTTATTGGCTGACGCCGCGGCTCACTAGGCTAATCCTCCACCTGCAGCGCCAGCACCCCGGGTTCTAGCCCCAGTTGGGGTACCGGTTCGGTCCTGGTTGCTCCTCTTCCAGTCCAGCTCTCTGCTGTGGCCCAGGAAGGCAGTGGAGGATGGCCCAAGTGCTTGGGCCCTGCACCGCATGGGAGACCAGGGGAAGCATCTGGCTCCTGGCTTTGGATCAGCGCAGTGCGTCAGCCGTAGCGGCCATTTTGGGGGTGAACCAACAGAAAGAAGACCTTTCTCTCTGTCTCTCTCTCACACTAACTCTGCCTGTCCAAAAAAAGATTTATTCATTTGAAAGGCAGAGTTACAGAGGGACAGAGGCAGAGAGTGAGTGAACCATTCACTGGTTCACTCCCTAAATGGCTGCAACAGCCAGAGCTGCGCCAACTCGAAGCCAGGAGCCAGGAGTTTCTTCGAGGTCTCACAAGTGGGTGAGCGGACCAAGCACTTGGGCCATCCTCCACTGCTTTCCCAGGCCATAGCAGAGAGTTGGATCAGAAGTGGAGCAGCCGGGACTCAAAAACAAGCAACCATATGGGATGCCGCCTCTGCAGGCGGTGCCCTACCCACTATGCCACAGCATCAGCCCCACGATGGCCTTTTGAAGTAGGGAACTAAGCACACAGCATTTCTTGAGACCTTGCCCACAGGGGAATCTGGTGAGGCAGCTGGGCAGTTGCCTTCAGCAGCTCCACCAACCAAAGCCTGCAAACCATCCAGAAGGTCCTATCTACCTGCCCACACTCCCAGTAAGCATCTGGGTGGCCTACTCGGAGCAGCTCAGCAGGAAAAGTCCAGTCAGGTGGCCACTCTCTTGCTGCCCCGGGAAGTAGCCAGGCAGCCCTGCAACATATCTGAACAGCTTGCCTTGAGATGCTTGGTGCACACAGGCCCAGGGAAGCAGACCAAGTAGCCCTGCCCACCCAAACCCCAGGAAGGAACTGGGTGGCCTCGCCAATCCTCTGTGGTCCTAAGCAGCAGCTGAGCAGCCCACTCCCAGAAGCTCTGCCCAGTAAGGACCTGAGAAGTGGCTGGGCAGAACTCTCTGTACAGGCTCACCCTCAAGGCGCTGTGAGCTCACCTGTGCAGCTATCGGACACTGCCCCTGTGCCTCCAGACACTGAGAATCACCTCATCCCACTATCATGCACACGGTGCCTCATGCCCCTGGGACCACCGGGGTGGCCCTGTCCTCACACAACCTGCAGAAACTGATGGGTGCCCACCCAGGTGGCTGAGCGCATTGTTCTCAGAGTTGCTAGCAAACTAGCCTGGCCTAACGGAGCTGCATGCCCCCTGGTTACGCAATCTCAGTATCCCTGCAGTGAAGGCCCCTGAGAGATCCACGTACATTGCTCATACTGATTACGGCTGAAGAAACTTCGTGGACACCAAACTGCAGTGCCCACCTTGAACCAAAGCCAGCATAACATAGCCAGCCAACACCCCAGGTCACACTGCCAGCAGAAAGTCTTCTAATGTGAAAGCCATCCTGTTAGACTGGTGGAGGTAACGGACCCAGCAGATGTACAAGTTACAACATAGGGACGCAAGCAGCACGAAGAAAGCAAGGTAACACGATGCCTCCCATGGAACACAACTCCAGCAACAGATCCCAAAGAACAAGAAATTGATAAATCACATGATAAACAACTCAAAAGAATATTTCAAAGGAAATTTAAATAAATATAAGGAAATATAAACAACCAACAAAGACAATTCATGATATTCAACTTAGGAAATTCAGCAGAGACAGCTTATAAAAAGAAACTAATCAAAAATCATGGAGGCTGGCTTTGGCACACTGATTAAGACAATGCTTGGGACAAGTGCTGTGGCGTAGTGGGTAAAGCCACTGCCTGCAGTGCTGGCATCCCATATAGGCACCAGTTCAAGTCCTGGATACTCCACTTCCAATCCAGATCTCTGCCATAGCCTGGGAAAGCAGAGGATAGCCCAAGTCCTTAGGTCCCTGCACCCGTGTGGGAAGACTCAGAGGAAGCTCCAGGCTCCTGGCTTTGGAATGGCACAACTCCAGCCACTGCAGCCATTTGGGGAGTAAACCAGTAGATGGAAGATTCTCTCTAACTCTGCCTTCTGTCTTTCAAATAAATAGATCTTTCTCCCAAAAGTTTTTTTTTTTTTTTTTTAATTTTAGTCATTTCGAAAGACCTATCTTCAAGATCAGAAATTCTTTGTTCTGCCTGATCAACTCTCCTGTTAAGGTTCTCCACTGTATTTTTTTTTTTATTTCATTGACTTTTTTTGTTCCAAAATTCCTCCCTCCCTGTTCTTTCTCTCAGAGACACAGAAGCCACTTATTCATTGGTTAACTCCCTCAAATGATTACAATAGCTGGGCTGGCCAGGGTCAAAACCAGAAGCCAGGAGCAGAAATGCTACAGGCCAGGGGAGCATGGAGACATAACCTAAGCTGTGAGAGAAAATCTGCCCCAGTCCTTAGTCGTAAGAAGTGAAGAACAATGAGATCCACAGCAATACAGGTACGCCTTAAGTCCACTGTGCCAAATGGCAGAGGCAGACTCAGAGGCTCCTCCTGTTTGAATACAGTCACGTGACATTCTGGAAAAGACAACATTACAGGGAGAGGAGACAACAGACGCGAGGGTGTGAAGGGCGGGGGCTGGCCAGAGAGACGCTGCTGAGGTCATGGAAGTGTCTGTCTTCACTGAGGTGGCAGTTACACAACGGTGTGTGTTGTCAAGACCCACACAACTGGATACACACGTAAAAGGGTGAACTTCCTTATATGCAAATCACACTGTAATAAAAACAGAACATTTAATTCCCTCTACATCCGAACTTTTTTTCTGTTTCCCATTAAATGGATATGATGTTAGCTGATTTTTCAACTTTTTCCCACCAAAATGTAAATTAAAAAGAGGATAATGACATAAACAGGGAATACAACTTCTACAAAAAACAAGAAAAATTCATTTCAAATTATATTAAAAAAATTATTGGGGCCAGCGATGTACCGTAGCAGGTAAAAGCTGCCACCTGCAGTGCTGGCATCCCATATGGGCGCCGGTTTGAGATCTGGCTGCTCCACTTCCGATCCAGCTCTCTGCTATGGCCTGGGAAAGCAGTGGAAGATGGCCCAAGTCAGGTACCAATGCTGTGGCGCAATGGGTTAAACCCCTGGCCTGAAGCACCAGCATCCCATATGGGTGCCAGTTCTAGTCCCAGCTGTTCCTCTTCAGATCCAGCTCTCTGCTGTGGCCTGGGAAAGCAGTGGAAGATGGCCCAAGTCCTTAGTCCCTGCACCCGTGTGGGAGACCTGGCTCCAGGTTTCAGATCGGCAAGGCTCCGGCTGTTGCCACCATTTGAGTGAACCAGTGGATGGAAGACACCCCCTCCACACCTCTGCCTCTCTATAAATCTGCCTTTCAAATAAATAAATAAATCTTAAAAAACCAAAAAGTGAAGCTGGAACTCAAACCCAGGGATGCATTTTAGCCACTATAACACTGCCTTCAGCTTTCTTCTCATTTAAACTATCTAGTGCCAAATTTTATATAAAGCGATTTTCCCTCCTATAATGCTTTCAGCTCTTTCTCAAAATTATTTTTTAAAGACAATATGGGATCTTTATTTATTTTGTAAAACAGTGAGATGGAGACAGAGAAAGAGCTATCTTCCAACTGATGCTTCACTCCTCAACTGCCTACAACAGCCTGGGCTACAGCAGGCAGAAGCCAGGAGCCTAGAACTCATTCTGGCTCTCCTACCTGGGCGGCAAGGCCCATCCAGGCTGTGCATTAACAGGATGCTGGATGGGAAGCAGGTTAGGCCTCAATCCCAGGGACTTTTATATGGGGTGCGAGAAGCCCAAGTAGCCTCAACCTCTTTGCCAACAGTGCTGGGCCCCACCCCCACCACAGCCCCCGCCCCTTGCGAATATATTTTTTCAAAGCTTTTCCAGTTTCTGGGAACCCTTTGTGGAAATCACAACTGTGGGAATTAAGTTCCATAACAGTTAGTGGGGACTAACACCTTCCCACGTTTCTCACACATAACCTTTCCAAACAAGTCCAGTTACAGGAACTCTAAAAACAAACAAACAAACACGGAAACTTCAGTTTTAGAAAACATGAAACAGAATTATGCTGATACCCGCATGACAACTGAGAATAGCAGCAAGGCAAAGGAACCAGTCAGCGACTTCTGAAATGGCCCCTCAACCCCTCCCATCCCTTGGCCTGCCCCACAGCAGTCATGAAATAAAGAATGATATGCAAAACAGCATCCTGCTAATTAAAGGCTCCTTAGGCTAACACAAACATCCTTTTTGAAGTGTTCAGCCTGTTCTCATTTCACCTAATTAAGCTGCAGTAGACATGTGACTGTAAAGAAACTCTGGAATACCATGGTAACTTGGTAGCATTTATAGAGAAAAGGAAAATCACACTCTGAGGGGAGGGTGTAACAGCCTTGCTTTACTCATTAAACAGCTCTGTGCAAGGAATTCAAATTCATTCCTCAGTAAACATAAATTATTACACAACACTGAAATCTCCCTACAACCATGAAAGCAGCTGGCACTGTGCTGGACAGTGCAAATGTAACAAAACAAAGGTAGCAAAGATGTATGAGATTCTCATCAGGAAATCTTTAATGTGCTCTGAGTTAGGTGATATAATCTGGAACATAGTGCAGATTTTGTCAGCTGGGGCCTATGGAGACACAGTACAGTTAGATTTCCAAAAATCATCGTTCAGATGATTCTGTAGCAAACGATGAGGCAGAAGATGCTTGACCTTGCTTTGGCAAACTGAGCTGAAATGATGGCTATACCAGAGAAGGGGATGTGTGTTTATTTAAATTAAGTCCATGCTATGACCTGGGGCAGGGCAGCAGGAACACTGGAGCCAGTGCTGTGGCAGAGTAGGCAAAGTTGCCGCCTGCAGTGCCGGAATCCCATGACTGGTCTGCTTCCAATCCAGCTCTCTGCTGTGGCCTGGGAAAGCAGTAGAAGATGGCCAATTCCTTGGGTCCCCACACCAGTGTGTGAGATCTGGAAGAAGCTCCTGGCTCCAGACTTCAGATCGGCCCAGCTCTGGCCATTACAGCCATTTGGGGAGTGAACCAGTGGATGTTAGACTTCTCTTTCTCTCTCTGCCTCTCTGTAACTCTGCCTTTCAAATAAATAAATAAATCTTAAAAAAAAAAAAAAATACTACAGGAATACCTTGCAAGGTTCCTGGAGGAGTGAGTGGACATAACGTAGTCAGGCACTAGGTTGCTACTGCTAAAAACTAGTAGAACTGCCGATTATAAGCTCCAAAGTATTTTGAGAGGCAAAAATAAAACAACTTATCTGACCTATTTATGTTATTAACAAAAAAAAAAAAATGGTGTTAGGATAGGAAGAAAACTGTTCCATTTTAGTTTATCTAAGATACTTTTTCAAAGAGCTCATCTTGTTTATGTCCAACTTGGATCAGGTTTTTTAGGTGGAGAGCAAGCAGATCAGAGAAGGCAGATTCCTAAGCAGAAAACTACTCTGCTTCTGTCTGCAAAGCCAGTTCAGTGGTTAATCCAAATGTAGTTCAATACACAATCAGCAAACTTTGTAGTAAGATGTGGGTGAAAATATGCTAAAGAATGAATATACTAGGGTGGGTGTTATGGCACAGCAGGTTAAGTTGCAGCTTGGGATGCCAGCATCTCACATCAGAGCGCCAGTTCAAGTCTTGAGTGCTCCACATCTGATCCAATGCCCTGCTAATGTGCCTGAGAGGCAGCAAAGAATGGCTCAGATGCTTGGGCCCCTGCTACCCATGTCGGAGACCCCGCTGGAGTTCTGGAATACTGGTTTCAGCCTGACCCAGTCCTGGCTGTTGTGGACATTTAATTTAGGGAGTAAACCAGAGGACGAATAATCTGTCTGTTGCTTTTTCCAAATTGATGAAAATAAGTAAATAAACTTTCTGGGGAAAAAAGAATGAATATACTACTACCGGAAACTCACTGAAATGATCCTGGGGGTGAGGGCCACTGAACTGCATCTCAGGAGCCCGCGTCGTGGTGCAGCCAGCTAAGCTGCTGCTTGCAACGCTGGCACCCCATGTCACAGTGCTGGTTCAAGCTCTGGCTACTCTGCTTCCCACCTAGCTCCCTGGTACTATGCCTGGGAAAGTGGCAGAAGATGGCCCAAGTAGTTGGGCCCCTGCCACTCAGGTAGGAGACTCAGATGGGTTCCAGGCTCCTAACTTTAGCATAGTTCAGCCTAGCCATTGTGGCCATCTGAGGAGTGAACCAGCAGATGGATCACCTCTTTCTGTCTCTCCCTGTCACTCTGCAAAACAAAACAAAACCCCTACACAACAACAAAAAAAACCTGCATCCACAGTAAGAGGTCTTAAGAACAGGGCGAGACATGAACAAAATGACATTTCTCATTTTCAGAGAAATTTTCATGTCTAATCCATGCTGAACAGTCACCTCTGAGACTGAGAGAGAAACTGCAGCAGCAGGAAGCAGGGTGATAAACTGCGACAAACATCCTTCTTCTTAAGAACCATGCATGCTTCCTCTTCTGTCCAGGCTGCCAAGAAGCTCAGAGTCAAATCGGAAGTTACAGTGAAGTAACAAAGTGTTCATTTAATGTAATGTATTTACTTTACCTTCCTTTTTTGTTGAGGTTCTGATTATTCTACATATATTAACCTTAACTGTGTAACACCAGCATAGGGTCCTCTGTCCAGTTGCCTAGCATTATTTTTAGCCTTAGGAATGCAGAGAATCTTGGCTCAACCACTCTCATTTGGGCCTCAGCTTCCTCCTCAATCAAGTTAAACACAGTATAAATCTCTGGACCTCAAGGAGCAATACAAGGAAATGGAAATGGACCTGCCTTGAAAACTCTCAAGGTGACCTAGAGCGAACACTTTCTGTTATCTGTGCCCTGGAGAACAAGGCACACTGCCATATGTGCTATGCTACGGTGGTGGGATTCCTCCACCAGTCAATCCTTCCAAAAAGGCAAATATATACTTAATTATACAAAATCAAATAAAGATTTCACATCAACAATAAGAGCTCAACACACTGCCAATGGTAGGAACTCTTTGTAGAAAAAATAAGTAAAAGGCAAACAAACTACTGTCAAAACTAAGGCACCGCAGAGCCTGCCGGCACTTTAGTATATGCAGGCCAGCCCTTGGCGCCCTGCGGACCACCTGCTCTGCCTCTCCGGCCTGCACCGAGGCCGCCAAGCACGGGCTCCCTGGTTCTGGAGGGGGCCAGACACTGACTGAGCTCTGGTCCCCTGCTCCTTCCTAGGCTTGCTTAAAACTCCACCCAGCTTCCCTTCCTCAGATTGCCTGCTCAAGAGCCAAGGTGTCGGCTGGCGCTGCGGCTCACTAGGCTAATCCTCTGTCTTGCGGCGCCGGCACACCGGGTTCTAGTCCCAGTCGGGGCGCCAGATTCTTTCCTGGTTGCCCCTCTTCCAGGCCAGCTCTCTGCTGTGGCCAGGGAGTGCAGTGGAGGATGGCCCAAGTACTTGGGCCCTGCACCCCATGTGAGACCAGGATAAGTACCTGGCTCCTGCCATCGGATCAGCGCAGTGCGCCGGCCACGGCGGCCATTGAAGGGTGAACCAACGGCAAAGGAAGACCTTTTTCTCTGTCTCTCTCTCTCACTGTCCACTCTGTAAAAAAAAAAAAAAAAAAAAGAGCCAAGGTGTCCAGCACTTCTGTTGGAAGGGCGGAGAGCCTGTGATTGAACGTAGGACAAATGGTGCCCTTGGGGCCGTGAGGGGAGTCCTCTGCCCAGGCCCGTGCTGGCGTGGCTTGCTAGACACGTCTGCCGACGGGCACAGGCACAGGGACCAGGTGTGGTGACAGCACCTACTGTGCACAGCCCGGCTCGGGGTAGTGTCCACCAGGAGAAGGCGCCATGGCCAGCCAGCGGTGCTGGGGTCGCTGTGTGTACAGTTTGAGGGCATGTGAGTGTCTGCTGTGGTTTGTGTGTGTCCCTAACACTGAAGTGGACGATGAGCATTAGAGTGACTTTCAGTCAGGCCTGTGCGTGTCTCTGTCCGTGGAACCTGCTGAGGACCTTCGTTTCCAAACTCGGAAACGTGTGAAGGTTCTGACGTCCAATTCTCTAAGCAATCACGGTTGTCGCTGACGGTGGTGAAACACTGGGGGGACGGGAAGGCATGGGGAGTTGGTCCTGACCAAGTGCTGTGCATTGCTTTTCCTGTTCTGTGTTTCGGTTTGTTTTGTTTTGTTTTGTTATTTTAAAATGCTGACATCCTGGAGGACGACAGTAATCGGCTCTTACAGAGCGGCCATAGCTTTCTGTCAGAACACTTGCTTCCATGTTTCCAAGATAAAGACGGCTGATTACAAAACAAACAAAAATACAGAGAAAAAAGAAACCA